AAAGTTGGTAGATGGATCTTTCACTTCCTACCAAACAGAACACAGAACGTATTAGTAAACAGAGAAAATGCTGAGGCAGTTACGGTGAAAAGCTCTGTTCCACAAGGACCAGTACACTCTCCCATCCAATTCCTCATCCTCATATCTAACATAAACAGAGATGTGAGCCATAGCTCTGTGTCTTCCTTAACAGGTGGCACCCAAACTGCCATGACAGTGTCCTCCACTGAAAACACTAAGACTCCGAGCGGATATCAACCAAACTTCAAAGGGGTCACCAAACATATGAAGTTCAATGAAGAGAAATTTTTCAACTACTCGGACATGAAAACTGAAGAAATTAAAAACTATTTGGGTATACTACAAAATTTTAACCATACGACAAAAAAGTAATGTGAGGACTGAGTTGTAAGTCGGGGGATCTCCCCTTCAAAGCCCCAAAACAATGTATCTACGTATCTGCTAGAAAAATGTAGGTAGATAATGAAACCTTCAAAAACTAGGGATCCCCAAGCCTATGATGTTTCTCTTCAAATCACTTTTTTTTTCTCTGGGGCTGGAAATACTGGTACAGAACTGCCCCCTTCAAGGCAAGCGAAATTGCTGCCTGGAGAGTGTACACAAAAATTTGTGGACACATAAGACAATAAAGCACCAAAATTTACTGGACTTTGAAGTCCCGTTTTGTGCCCCTGGAATGCGGGAAGAAATTACAGAAAATATACATTGAAAAACTTAAGAGGGATTGGTACCAAAAATTGCACATGAAACTCATTCCCTATGAAAGAAAAGACTAGGCGGAGATTAACATTCCCCAATGAAAAAACAGGGGTGCACGAGTACATTGAGAGACAACACAAAGTGCAGGGGCCCCCGGATTGTTAAAAATGTCCCAAAATACTATGCAACTTATGGGAATCTTTATTTAAGAAAACTTTGCCAAAAAGTGGCTTACAGTCCCCAAAACAAAGCAAAAGGTGTAGGGGGAGGAGGTTTCATAATCAGTCCCTCAGCCTGGGAAACAATGTGTTCGTCCACCAGCTTGTAGAAAAATATAGATAGGACCGGAGAAGTGGCTTATATACTGTAGTCAGGGGAGTCAAGCAGGAGGGAGCGGGATCGCAGTGGAAAATATCCCCTAGTGTTTTAGGTCTTTGTCCCAAAATTTTTTGGAAATGTTTAAGAATTCTTTGTATCAAGATCCATGATGTTTTCAGTGTCTGACAAATAGATAAATGGTTTTGAAAACCCATTTTGTTAAGATTGAGACATTATAAACATATGGGGGAAACTTTTTTCAAGAAAATTTTTTTCAGACTTTCTTACACTAGGGATAGTTCCACTGATTCCACCTCCTGCTTCGACTTGCCCACTACGGTAAATTAAGCCACTTCCCCCCTATGCTGTACTTTCTACAAGACTGATGGACTGAAACACCGATTCCGGCTGAGGGGGGATTATTCAAACTCCTCCTCTCCTTACACCTTTCTGCTTTGTTTGGGAATTTTGAAGCCCCTTTTGACGAAAATTTCTTTAATAAAGATTCCCATATTTGCATAATGTCTTAATCTTCAATTGTCAGTTTTTCAAAACCTTTTATCACATAAGGGGGATTACCAATAACCCCCAGCTGTCTTCAAAGGGACAGGGGACCCCAAAGTCAGACCCGACCCGGGCCCCGGGCTGTGGTTGTATGTCGTTTGTGCTGGCCCGCAGTAACAGCCTGTTTATAGACCCGATCCCCCATGAGGCCTGGTCCCAGACTGAGCCGCAGGAGCGCTGACTCCCGAAACCCTCTCCAAGTATACTCCAGGTAGGTACAAATCTGTTAATGGTTCCAATGATCCTCACTATTGCTTGGTCTCTCACCTGAATATATTACGGGAATGTGAGCTACTGTACAGTGTCTCCCATAAGCCAAATCAACCAGGCTGTGATGGTATGAGGGCCAGCTCGCTGCCAGTAACAACAGCCTGGTTGACCTGGCAAGCACCAGACTAAGCCTGGCCCAGGGTTGAGAATAGAAACTCTTGAAAGTCATCAAAGATATACCAAAGGTACTATGGAACCACAGGATAAGAAATGCATCATTGACACAACACCTTCCTTCCTAATACCATTATCTGCGTACTTGTTCAAATGGATATTTCGCATACATTCAGTTATCATTAACCCCTTGACTGTCGCAACCCCAAATCCTGAGGTGTCCCCTGGTGTCGCAAAATTAAAAAAAAAAAAAAAAAAAAAAAAAAAAACCTTATGAAATGATAGAATCTTTTCCTGATTGTAATGACACCAAAAGAATGAAATTTGATGGAAAGCTGATGGAACTACGCTCTCGCGAAGTTAGCGACCTCGGCGATATTTACGAATTGGCGATTTCGCCCACTTTGAGCCCTATTTTCGGCTAATTCCATTGTTCCAGTCAACCAAACTCAGCTATTTCTTTATAACTCCATTTTTTCTATCGAATGGGTACAAGAAACTGCCCATTTACTGATTTCAACTACCCAATAAGATGGTCAGAAATTTGCAATTAGGCCAATTTCACAAAAATTAAAAAATATGACAATTTCAAAACAGGGTCCAGAATGAACAATGCAGACATTCCTGGCTCTAAAATAACATTTTCTTTGTTCATCAGTCACATCTCCAGGCCCCTCTGATATTACTCTTGCTTTCTATTTTGAATTTTTATTCAAACAAAAAATAGAAGATTTACTGTTATGCAGACTACTGCAATATTGTAAAAATTGTATAAATAATGTTAACCCATTCATGACTTCATATCAGAATGGCTACTTGGACATTTATTGGAAAATGACATCATTTGTTTACTTTTGAACATAAGCAAAAATCAAACATTTCCCCTACTTTAAGCTTCATTTCAATGTTCTTTTCATAGTAAAACCAATCAAAATTACCTCTATTTCTATAATATGTTTACCATTTTATCAAATGAGACCAAGAAAACGAGAATACAACCATAAATACTATACGAAAATAGACCACAAAGTCGGCATTTTAATTAAAAAAAAACGGTCGGAGTTTTTTTTCTCATTATGCACTGCATGCTGCAGGATTTTTTTTATATGGTGCACACTGACCACACAGACCCATTCTCTCACATGCGTGCCTACCAGCTTTCTCCTGCTTGATTTGAAGCTGCTAGAATTTATGAGTATATATACGTCAAAAATGGTGGCTTGTAAGACGTATATATACGACCAAAACAGTCAAAGGGTTAATGAGTACTACTAAGAAACAGTTCAGTAAGCCAAGTGTACAGTAAATGCAAGTAGAAGATTGTAAGATTAGCTGTCATCTTACATGCTTATTAGAAAGAAGGAAAAGACCAGCAATACTGCTTTGTACCTAGTTCAGCCATCACAACTTTGGGGGCCCAGTCCCTGGACCTATTACGTACCTCTGTAATCTGTAAATACCTTTGTAACTTTTCATGATTGTGACCAGACTTACCTGGAGTTCATTACCTTTGTAAATTGTGAGTTCATTACCTTTGTAAATTGTGAGTTCATTACCTCTGTAACTTGCTCAGCTATCAAAACTTTGGAGTCCAGTCCCTGGACCAATTATGTACCTCTGTAATCTTTTGACTACCGCCCACAGGATGGGTATGGGGTGCATAATAAACATATTAAACTAAAACTAACTGCTAGTGCAAAACTTTTAAGAGGCCTCCCTTTCACACTCTTATGAAAAGACAGAGGTACCTCCCTGGATGGTTGCTATGTAACAACCTACTAAAATCTTCTTTCTTTCAACAAACCGGCAGTATCCCACCGAGGCAGGGTGGCCCAAAAAGAAAAACAAAAGTTTCTTTTTTTAAATTTAGTAATTTATACAGGAGAAGGGGTTACTAGCCCCCTGCTCCCGGCATTTTAGTTGCCTCTTACAACACGAATTCTGTTCCACTTCCCCATGGAGATAAGAGGAAATAAACAAGAACAAGAACTAGAAAGAAAATAGCAGAAAACCCAGAGGGGTGTGTATATATATGCTTGTACATGTATGTGTAGTTGACCTAAGTGTAAGTAGAATTAGCAAGACGTACCTGAAATCTTGCATGTTTTGAGACAGAAAAAAGGACACCAGCAATCCTACCATCATGTAAAACAATTACAGGCTTTCGTTTTACACTCACTTGGCAGGACAGTAGTACCTCCCTGGGCGGATGCTGTCTACCAACCTACTACCTATAACCTAAAATATATACAGTAAATTAAAAGAGGTCAGGCAGGAAAGGGATGAATGGGTAGACTGCATATTCCTAGAAGAGGAAAAGTGTCACCCCTGCCTCGATGGGAGATGGCCAGCGTATTAAAAAAAAAAAAAGTCACTTTATATACTGCATACAGGTAATGAAACAACAGGATGGAAATCTAATTGGTGGAGTTTCACAGGAATTAGTGATAAGCCCCATACTGTATCTAATGTACATAACTAATCTGGTTACAGGAGTTTACTACTATAAATATGTTCTCATTTGTAGGCATTGTCAAAATATTGAGAACACCTGAAGATGGTCAAAGTAGGCTGTAAAAAACTTGGATAAACTTCAGGAATGGTCAGATAAAGGGTTACTGGAATTCAATCTCACCAAAATAAGTCTTGAAGCTGGTAGATGGTAAAACAAGACTGAAGCCATAGAACCATCAAGAGAAAAAAAATAGAAACAGCTAAAGAAAAATACCTTGGGATAACCACTAACCCAAACACGATCCCTAATGTGTGCATAAACAGATTAGCATCAGCAGCACAGGTTTAAGCTTGCATACAGGAGCCTACAGAAAAAACACTTTCACTGAGTATGCAAGACCCTTGTGCAACCCTTACCTATAAAACAAAGTGAAACTCGAGAGTGCAAAGGAATTCATCGAGACTGGTGCTTAAAGTGAAAGAGAGGAGTTACAAAGAAATAATGTGAGAATTACGCAAGGAGAGAAGAACTGTTTTTAAATAGACTTTTTATGCCTTACCTTCTGCCCAAGTGCCATAATTACATTTCCAAGGTTAGATAGAGACCTGTTGATATTCTGTGTCTCGGTGAGCCTAACACCTTCCGATCCTGATTCCTTGAGGCGCTCAGAGCCAGCAAGATCTACCAGATTCAGAGTTCCTGCAAAATTAATTAAGATAGTTTTTATGCACCAATTCTGTAATCTTTACTTGGAAATAAAATAAGACAGCATTTCTGAAAAAGTTTTAAGAAAGGAATGCATCAGTTTAGAGCAATTTAGTCAAGTTACTATTAAAATATTCATAAAAAATTTAAACTACACATTACATGAATATACATTTAAAGTATACTCTATACAAATTCTTAAGATATTTAGAAAGAACACTACAGACAAAGAAACCATCCTCTGAATCATACTCTTGGTGACCCACACCATCTTTTAACCCTTTGACTGTTTCCGACGTATAAATACGTCTTACGAGCCAATGTTTCTGACGTATTTATATGCACAAATTCTAGCGGCTTCAAATCAAGCGGGAAAGGCCTGGTAGGCCTACATGAGAGAGAATGGGTCTCAGTGGTCGGTGTGCACCCTGTGAAAAAAATCTGGGACCCAGCAGTGCATTGTGGGAACGCCATGTTGCTAGTCCATTTTCACCATACCTCTCGGTAAGAAGTTCCTCACTCCTCGGCGGATTGGAGGTCTTTTGTTCCCAAGGAAGTTTAAAAGCGTAAAAAAGTCGTGACAGTAAATTCCCAGGGTTTGGGGAATGGTGTTACCGGAAAAAGTGCCCAGGAAACTTTAATTAGTGATAAAAAACCCAGATGATAAACCTCCCCCTTGGGCGGGCCGGCTTTTTAAACATTCACGTTCGCTGTACCGGGACAAAGAGGAAATTTTTGGTGTGTCAACACCAGAGTTAGAGTGATAGTGATAGTGTTTTCAAGGTCATTAAAAGCAGTTCTGTGAAAGTGAGGTAAATATTCCCAGTGAAGCGGCAGTTGTACCCCTGCATGCGGTCTGGTGTGTTTCATTGTTTTTCCCAAGGGGAAGGAAAAAATTTGGGGAGACACCCCGTGGCCCTACCCCATCCCGATGTGAAGTGTGATATTGTAACGTGGGTATAAATGATGTGGGGATGGAGCAGGCAGTGGTGGTGATAGGGGGTGGCACGGCCCATGTGGCACCCAGGGGCCACGTACTACCACGCTGCTGCTCTGCACAAAAACCAGTCTCACCTCCCCCACACCCCCAAAACCTCACCCCAAAACCCCCCAAACCGCAAAACCCCAAACCACGGTACAATATCCGACCCCACCAGCAGCCCGTTGGGTTTGGGCCAGGACGGGACGATTTTTGTTCCTGTCCCCATGACTTTGAAAAACCCAAAAAGTGGAATAAAGCCATTTGTCCACTTGGAACAATGCCAGTGAAGGGATGCTTTGAGTTATTTTCGATGAACCCTGATGGACATTTGTCAGGAAACAAACACAACTGTGATTCCCCCCCATGGCAAATACAATTTTTCCACCAAAAATCACGGTTTCAAAGTAAAGGAAGGGGAACTTGGAAGTTGTACCTGTTTTTTCCCACAAAAATGCTTTCCCACATGTGTATAAGCACACTGTCACCAATATGGGCAACAGAACGCCTGATTTCAACCCCGGGTTTTTTTGTGACATTACAGGTGTCAATCGTTTCCTGATACTGTTACGTATGTTACACTTTTCACACAAAACCAGCCTGACAGAGCGACAGGTTAATAAGTCAAAAAGTGTTTATGTACCTGAAACAAAGGCTGCAGTATTTTTATCCCTTCAGGAAGTTTTTTATTGTGAGTCCTTGATTTTATTAAAAGGGAAAAACTCTCATTAAAGCATTTTTCCCAATCAAGAAAAAAACGTTTTGGTAAAAGTATTTGTCTGTTGATGAGAATTTTGGTTAGTTTTGGATTCTTGTTTTTAATGGAAAGTAAACTTTGAGAGATCCCATGAAGTTATTGGGTATCTTGGTGTTTTGGTTCAACAATGTGGAACCATTCTTGGAAGGGGCATATGTTTTTTACTATCTGGTCCCAAAGCCCTTATCAGTATTTCTTAGAGTGAATTGACAGGTGGGGGCCAGTGCGTGGTAATCGTAAACATATCCCAAGGTTTGACGCTGGACTCGCGGGTGAGGTACAACCCTTTGTGCCAATGCATATGGCATTTCGGTGGATGACAAACTGATGTACATTGTTAATCAGTTCAAGAAACGAAAGGGTCCCCAGTGGCAGGGAAAACAGAGGCCCAAATGAACCCATTCTAACCTGCAGTGTATGGACTACAACCTCAATATGCGCTTAGTGGACAAATTGGACATGCAGATTGGGTTTGCGGGACTGTGTACGCAAGAGTTATAAGTGGTTATAAAATTTTTTTTTCCATCTTTTGATATCTCTTTTGCTAAATGTTTATAACATATAAAAGGGGAAAAAACCCAAAAAACCCCAAAAATATGGCGTTTTGCCTGTCGTAATAGACAAAAAATTGCAAAGTCCCAAGGAGCAACCCCTGCAAAGCCCGCGCCCCACAGTCCTCGTTCAGGCCTGGTGATCACTCCCCCTAAAAATGCCCCCTATACTGCAAGAAAAATGCTAAAAGAGGTGTTATGTATGTATGATCCCACAAAACCCCCACAAACATGCGAGCCCTCGTTTTGGGGGTGTGAGGAGTGTAAAGGGCCCCCTCTGCATATACCCATGTTTAAAAGGTTTTCACAAGTGCAGCATTTCTAGGAAGGTTTAGTGTGTACATATGATATATTATTATGGAACAAAAGTAATAAACATTGTTTTGTTTGTTTGTTTTTTTAAAAAAGTGTATCCAAATAATATGATAAAGTTTGTTCTGTTATTGTGTTGTTTAAACAATAAGTGTATTTGAACAATGCACCACTTGGGCCACAGGCCACAAAAATTACCTGGAACAGAAAAAAAATTGAAAAAGCAAAAACCTTTGAATTAGAGTAAATAAAAGAATACCGGGTGGGCGGGAGTCACTGCTGTTGCCCTACGCCGTCATTTCTGCAAACTTTGCGGCTCTATATTGGTAAGTTTGATTGGCAAAAATTTTTTTTTTTGGCTTTTTAAAAAACTACAAAAATATTCCAAATTTTCATAAGAAAAAAATTTTTTTTTTTTCCGAATATTTGGCGACATGAATGACAGTTCAAAGGGGCCTGAAACAGCAAAGGGTTAATTTCTACGCCCCCAAATTTTTGCATAAAATTTACAGTTTTTACATTCCTAAAACAAACTTCAATATTCTAGCCTCCTTTTCACCACAACATTTAAGTCACAGTAACCCGGTTATTCATACTACCGGTATGCTGCTTATAACTAACAATATTTTGGTGGCAATAATTATGATCTACAGATCATTGATCAAATGGGGTGTTTAAAAAAGTGATTTAAATAAAAACACTTAGATGTGGCTTTTAAGACGGGAAAAACTTTGGTCAAGCATTGCTAGAGTGGTCCTAATGATTTGGGAAGGATGGTAGTTGCAATCAGTGTCCCCCAAAAATAATGGAATATTGTTTTTACTGAAAGTAATTGGAGTTTTTATTTGTTTCAAATCATTTTATGCGATTTTTTATGCGCTTCCAAACTGTTGTATCTGGGCACCTCAGCAAAAACAGTGATTATGAGTGAGGTGAAAGTGTTTGATGATGAAAGTATTTTTGTTTTGGGGATTTTCTTTATTTTTGGGTCACCCTGCCTAGGTGGGAGACAGCCGAGTTGTTGAAAAAAAAAATCGGAGAAACTCACTGAATACCTTAGGTGATTAACAAATGATACTCAGTTTTCTCAAGTACTGCACAAAACTAACGTTTAGGATGGATGGGGATACTTTGATTTAGAGTCATTTGAATTGCTTTGTCTAAACACTGCTGACAAGACAGCTATTGAGTGATGGTGAATGTGTTTCTTATTTGGATTGCCCTGCCTTGGTGGAAAATGGTCAGTAAGTGAAAAAAAAAAAGAGCTCCAAATATCAGGAAGCCTTTCTTCAATATAAGACGGGTAAATACTGTAATTCGAATGACCTAAACAATGACAATAGAAGCACCTCCGCACAGTTCAACAGCAGATATGACAAAGCTTAATCACATCAGTTGGTTAACAGATAAGAGGCAGAACCAAGGGCTTAAATTCATCCTCCCCTCCCTAGCAAGCTTCAATAGGTGAAAGAAAAAATACTTTTTTTTTTTTTTTTCAACAAGTCGGTCGTCTCTCACCGAGGCAGGGTGACCCAAAAAAAAAAGAAAATCCCCAAAAAGAAAATACTTTCATCATCATTCAACACTTTCACCACACTCACACATTATCACTGCTTTTGCAGAGGTGCTCAGAATACAACGCTTAGAAGCATATAGTTAAGAACACAAAAATATCCCCCAAACTGCCAATATCCAAACCCCCCCTTTAAAGGCAGGCATTGTACTTCCCATTTCCCGGACTCAAATCCCATATATGAAAAAAAACGGTTTTTCCTGAACCCTTCACAAAAAATTACCCCGTCACACTCCAACGATGTCAGATCCCAAAATCATTCTCTTTCCCCTCCTCCTATCTAAAAACCGCTCTGCACGCTTGCTGTAAATCCAAGCCCCTCGCCCAAAACTCCTTTACCCCCTTTTTTCCCCAAACCCCTTTTGAGGGACGACCCCCACCCTCTTTCCCCTTCCCCCCATAGATTTATATGCTTTCCCTGTCATTTACTTTGATCCATTCTCTCTAAAAGACCAAACCACCTCAACAACCCTCTTCTGCCTCTGACTAATGCTTTTATTAACTCCACACCTTCTCCTAATTTCCACACTCCGAATTTTCTGCATAATATTTACACCACACATTGCCCTTAGACAGGACATCTCCACTGCCTCCAACAGTCTCCTCGCTGCTGCATTTACCACCCAAGCTTCACATCCATATAAGAGTGTTGGTACTACTATACTTTCATACATTCCCTTCTTTGCCTCCATAGATAACGTTTTTTGACTCCACATATACCTCAACGCACCACTCACCTTTTTTCCCTCATCAATTCTATGATTAACCTCATCCTTCATAAATCCATCCGCTGACACTTCAACTCCCAAGTATCTGAAAACATTCACTTCTTCCATACTCCTCCTCCCCAATTTGATATCCAATTTTTCTTTATCTAAATCATTTGATACCCTCATCACCTTACTCTTTTCTATGTTCACTTTCAACTTTCTACCTTTACACATTCTCAAACTCATCCACTAACCTTTGCAATTTTTCTTTAGAATCTCCCATAAGCACAGTATCATCAGCAAAAAGTAACTGTGTCAATTCCCATTTTGAATTTGATTCCCCATAATTTAATCCCACCCCTCTCCCGAACACCCTAGCATTTACTTCTTTTACAACCCCATCTATAAATATATTAAACAACCATGGTGACATTACACATCCCTGTCTAAGACCTACTTTTACCGGGAAGTAGTCTCCCTCTCTTCAACATACCCTAACCTGAGCCTCACTATCCTCATAAAATCTCTTTACAGCATTTAGTAACTTACCACCTATTCCATATACTTGCAACATTTGCCACATTGCTCCTCTATCCACTCTATCATATGCCTTTTCTAAATCCATAAATGCAATAAAAACTTCCCTACCTTTATCTAAATACTGTTCACATATATGCTTCAATGTAAACACTTGATCTACACATCCCCTACCCACTCTGAAGCCTCCTTGCTCATCTGCAATTCTACATTCTGTCTTACCTCTAATTCTTTCAATTATAACCCTACCGTATACTTTTCCTGGTATACTCAGTAAACTTATTCCTCTATAATTTTTACTATCTCTTTTGTCCCCTTTCCCTTTATATAAAGGGACTATACATGCTCTCCGCCAATCCCTAGGTACCTTCCCCTCTTTCATACATTTATTAAACAAAAGTACCAACCACTCCAACACTATATCCCCCACTGCTTTTAACATTTCTGTCATGATCCCATCAGTTCCAGCTGCTTTACCCCCTTTCATTCTACGTAATGCCTCACGTACCTCCACCACACTTACATTCTGCTCTTCTTCACTCCTAAAAGATGGTATACCTCCCTGGCCAGTGCATGAAATTACTGCCTCCCTTTCTTCCTCAACATTTAAAAGTTCCTCAAAATATTCTCGCTATCTACCTAATACCTCCCTCTCCCCATCTACTAACTCCCCTACTCTGTTTTTAACTGACAAATCCATACTTTCCCTAGGCTTTCTTAACTTGTTTAACTCACTCCAAAATTTTTTCTTATTTTCTTTAAAATTTCTTGACAGTGCCTCTCCCACTCTTTCATCTGCTCTCCTTTTGCACTCTCTCACCACTCTCTTCATCTTTCTTTTACTCTCCATATACTCTGCTCTTCTTATAACACTTCTGCTTTGTAAAAACCTCTCGTAAGCTACCTTTTTCTCTTTTATCACACCCTTTACTTCTTCATTCCACCAATCACTCCTCTTTCCTCCTGCCCCCACCCTCCTATGACCACAAACTTCTGCCCCACATTCTAATACTGCATTTTTAAAACTATTCCAACCCTCTTCAACCCCCCCACTACTCATCTTTGCACTAGCCCACCTTTCTGCCAATAGTCGCTTATATCTCACCCGAACTTCCTCCTCCCTTAGTTTATACACTTTCACCTCCCTCTTACTTGTTGTTGCCACCTTCCTCTTTTCCCCATCTACCTCTTACTCTAACTGTAGCTACAACTAAATAATGATCCGATATATCAGTTGCCCCTCTATAAACATGTACATCCTGGAGCCTACCCATCATCCTTTTATCCACCAATACATAATCTAACAAACTACTTTCATTACGTGCTACATCATACTTTGTATATTTATTTATCCTCTTTTTCATAAAATATGTATTACTTATTACCAAATTTCTTTCTACACATAGCTCAATTAAAGGCTCCCCATTTACATTTACCCCTGGCACCCCAAATTTACCTATTACTCCCTCCATAACATTTTTACCCACTTTAGCATTGAAATCCCGAACCACCATTACTCTCACACTTGATTCAAAACTCCCCACGCATTCACTAAACATTTCCCAGAATCTCTCTCTCTCCTCTACACTTCTCTCTTCTCCAGGTGCATACACGCTTACTATAACCCACTTTTCACATCCAATCTTTATTTTACTCCACATAAACCTTGAATTTATACATTTGTAGTCCCTCTTTTCCTGCCATAGCTTATCCTTCAACATTATTGCTACTCCTTCTTTAGCTCTAACTCTATTTGAAACCCCTGACCTAATCCCATTTATTCCTCTCCATTGAAACTCTCCCACCCCCTTCAGCTTTGTTTCACTTAAAGCCAGGACATCCAGTTTCTTCTCATTCATAACATCCACAATCATGACTTAAGAAATCGTAATGACACGATTGCAAATAAACCATACCCCCGGCCGGGATTGAACCCGCGACGGGCTGGAGTTTTGAGACTCTATGACCGCGGGTTCAATCCCGGCCGGGGGTATGGTTTATCCACAATCATCTCTTTCTTATCATTTGCACAACATCCACGCACATTCAGACTTCCCACTTTGACAATTTTCTTCTTCTTATTCTTTTTAGTAATCTTTACAGGAAAAGGGGTTACTAGCCCATTGTTCCCGGCATTTTAGTTGACTTTTACAACACGCATGGCTTACGGAGGAAAGATTCTTATTCCACGTCCCCATGGATATAAAAGGAAAAGTAATAAGACCAAGAACTATTAAGATAAAATCAAAGAAAACTCAGATGAGTTAGTGTAAATAAATGTGTACATGTATGTGTAGTGTGACCTAAGTGTAGTAGAAGTAGCAAGACATGCCTGTAATCTTGCATATTTATGAGACAGACAAAAGACACCAGAAATCATACCATCATGTAAAACAATTACAGGCTTTCGTTTTACACTCACTTGGCAGGACGGTAGTACCTCCCTGGGTGGTTGCTGTCTACCAACCTACTACACAGTAATTAATTACAGAACTCTTACCTTCACAAGATTCAGAAGTTTTGCTATTGGTTCCGGAGAGTTTAAGACGGAAAACGGAATGGGAGCGAGATGACCGCTCATTCATTTTGGTTTCAGCCACAGCTCTTTGTTGTTGGGCTAGATGAAGCAGATGGTGAACATTACTTTCATCCGATACTTCTACTACCTGAAAAATAACGATAAAATTGAATAAACCCAAGATGATTCGTAATAAATAAGTGCCAATGAAGAGAATGGACAAGGAGTTGAACTGTGGTCCATGTACACAGCAGACCCAACGTTGTTACCACTCTTCCACAGAGCTTAAAATTATCCTAGTCTAAGCTCTGAAGGTGAAAAGTAACAGCACTGAGCATGCTACACGAATGAACCATGATTCCTACCCTTCATGTTCTAATTATTCACGTCTCACACTTCTACAATACAGAAAAATGGAAAGAAACAAGGCAAACTCCACATGGGGGTTCGCATGTTAAAAAAGTCACTGTCAATGATTTGATAGGACTTGAGCCAATCTCACTGCTGCAACAAGAATGAGATTCGCTGACGACATTTGTGGTAAGAACGGTGTCCCACACTAACCTCTAGTGTATAAAAAATATACCTAGTTGGATGAATTTAATTAGCCCTGCACAAAACAGTGGTGAAAAAACTGGCCCACTAGTTTAAGGACTGACTTACCATAGATTCAAACCCTAAAAACATAATACGTATCCCCATAAAAATAACAGGCAATTCCTTCATCAATTAACCCTTTCAGGGTCGAGAAGCCCTCTCCTAAACTTGTTCTCAGGGTCAAAAATTTTTTGAAGAAAAAAAAAAAAATCTTATGAAATGATAGAGAATCTTTTCCCGATCATAATGACACCAAAAGTATGAAATTTGATGGAAAACTTACGGAATTATGCTCTCGCGAAGTTAGCGGTCTTGTCAATGTTTAAGCATCGGCAATTTCGCCCACTTATTTTTGGCCAATTCCTGTGTACTAGTCGACAAAAATCATATTTATTTCGCTAAACTCCATTTTTTTCTATCGAATGGGTACAAGAAACCACCCATTTACCAATTTCAACTATCTAATAAAGTGGTTAGAAATTGGCAATTTTGCCAATTTTACACAAATTTCAGAAGATGCCAATTTCCAAATAGGGTCCAGAATAAACAAGACAGACATTCCTGGCACTATAATAACAAGTTCTCTGTTCGTTAGTCACGTCCCCAGGCCCCTCTTGTATTTCTTTTGCTTTCCACTTTGAGTTTTTATTCTTACAAAAAATAGAAGATTTACTGTTATGCAGACTACTGCATTTGTGTAGAAATGGTATAAATAATATCAGCGCACTTGTGAAAGAATATTAGACTCACCAGTTGACGTGTATTGGACGCTTGGCATGATTTGTTTACTTTTGAACTTTGGCAAAAATCAAGCATTTCTGCTACTTTGAGCTCAATTTCAAGGTACTTTTCTTTGTGAAACCAATCAAAATCATTTCAAATTCTGTAATATGTCTTCCATTCTATAAAATGAGACCAGGAAAACTAGAATACAACCATAAATACCATACGAAAATACAGTGCAAAGTCGCTGTTTTAATCCAAAAACATGGTCAAAGTTTTTTTTTCTCATTATGCACTGTGTGCTGCAGGATTTTTTTATACTGTACACTGACCACATAGACCCATTCTTTCATATGTAGGCCTACCAGCTTTCTCTCGCTAGATTTGAAGGAGCTAGGATTCAGGCGTTCTAGTACGTCAATAACCCTGGTGCGTAAGCCGTACTAGTACGTCAAAAACCCTGAAAGGGTTAATGTACAGGACTAAAAATGAAATGCAAGGTTCATCACCGAATTATTGTTATTATTTTTCAACAACACATCGGCCCTCTCCCACCGAGGCGGGATGACCGGGGAGAAAAAAAACAAAAAACTTTCACCATCATTCAACACTATTACCATTCACATATAATCACTGTCTTTGCAGAAGTGCCCAGATACGACAGCTTAGATGCCACTCCAAACAGCCAATATCCCAAACCCCTCCTTTAAAATGCAGGCATTGTACTTCCCACTCTCAGGACTCAAGTCCCTGAATCCCTTTACCAACATCCCAAATTTGAGGATTTTCTTTTAAGCTGGACAGGAAAAGGTGCTACAAGCCCACTGCTCCTGGCATTTTAGTTGACTTTTACAACACGCATGGCTTATGGAGGAAATATTCTTATTCTACTTCCCCATGGACTACTACTACTTTCAACTAACTGGCCATATCCCACAGAGGCAGGGTTGCCCAAAAAGAAAAAAGAAAAATTTCTCTTTTTAATTTTAGTAATGTATACAGGAGAAGGGGTTACTAGCCCCTTGCTCCCGGCATTTTAGTCTCCTCTTACGACACGCATGGCTTACAGAGGAAGAATTCTATTCCACTTCCCCATTCCCCATGGTGTGATGTAGTTCAGCTGGGCTTGTGAGGTCTCTGGGGAGACCTAATTTAACCAATTATATGGTCACACCTTGCCTTGGCAGACGTCTGTAGCCACGCCCACGTCTGAGGTCTTTTGTTCTTAACAGCATCAGAGCTCGGCGTCAGGTCGCAACACGTGGTACATACACCATTGGGGAGGGGGTACTTTGACTACGATATAAGCCCAGGGAAGAGCGGGGCAAGGAGGTTGTTGGTGACAGGTCCGTCGAGCGAGAGCTCTGGACAGCCGCGTGTGTAGTGGACCACGCATTGGGAATCTCGGGTCAGCTGGTCGGGGAATTAAGAGTGAGTACTAGTCCGTGTTACTGATAACATCTACCCTTCCCCCTGGTAATAAGTCTCATAGGTCAATTGTTATATTGTGTAAATTTCCATCAGGAGATGTTGTATTCTAGCCCTTTTATGTTATTAAGTAAACTATAGCCATAGTTCCCATTTTTATTTGTACCTTCATATGCTATTCCCTATTTTGTTAAGCACTGGGATATACAGGAGACGTGTTCACTCGCTGGGATACCTCCGGTAGAGTGGGTAGAGGTCTCACAATGGACATAAAAGGAAAAATAATAAGGACAAGTGTAAGCAAAAGTAGAAAGATATACAGGTCCGCCATCACAAATCCGGCAATCAGTTATTCGGCACTAACTTTATCTAGCATAATTTCAAATTTCCAGGGTCGCCACATCAACCTGCTGGTACTGTTTGGTGTCGCTACTTGCTGCACAAGTCATTCCAATTTCTTTTTCTCCATTTATTGTTATAACCTGCTTACTTTTAGCCCTGGCCATGGTTCCAATGAATAAAAAAAATGTTTCTCATTATGTAAAGCACCAACACAGTACATTGTCCATTAACCTTTTAAACGGTCCAAACAGATCGACGTTCAAATTCGTAGTGCTACAAAGGTAGATCTACTTTTTTTTACATATTTTCAAATATAACAACAAAAAAAATGTAGATAAAAAGTTTTTTTTACACGTTTTCAAAATAAATAACAAAAAGGCACAATAACGTTTTCAAATGTAAAACAAAAAAGAAGATCTACATTTTTTTACATACTTTCAGATATTGAAAAAACGTATATATACGTTTGGACCATTTAAGGGTTAAAGATAAGGTGGCTTGGAAGCCACTGCCGGTTGCCATGAGCTCTGTCTCATGATGCAGGAGAATATGCTTTATTACGCTAATATCAACACTACAGCTTATTTTCCTATCACAATTGATCTAATATGACATAATAAACAATATAAATAACATAAAACATGTTAAATACTCCAGAATAAATAATATTTGGCATAATACCAAGCAGTTCGACGGAGGTAGGAAGAGGATGTGGTATACAAATACCATTCTCCTATCCCTGTCTTTGGGGCTTATATTAGAGAAAATGGAGTATACCACAGGGCTAACTGTGATATACACTCATACTTCACTATATTATTATTATAATCAAGGGGGAAGTGCTAAACCAGTAGGATTATACAGTGCCTGTGGGGGGATGGAAGGTATTCAGGGTTACTTCAGGGAACTGGAGCCCAGATCCAGTTCCCTAGATCAAGAGCCCCTCACCAGCATCAAGGAACCTTCCTTGAGGGATACTCCACCATAAACCTGAAACAAAAAAGTTATTTTCTCTATATAGATTATCACACATAGCAGCATGTGTGTACAGACTAGGATAACCCAAAAAAGTCAACGTGGCTTATTTCTAGTACCTGGCCTGGGTTAGCCATACATGATTTTTGGTAAATATTCGATTCCCAGCCAGGGTAGAAACATTAGGCATCTCTTTACACCTGTTGTCTATGTTTACCCATCAGTAAATGGGTACCTGGGTATTAGCCGACTAGTGTGGGTGTTATCCTGGGACACTGACCTAATTTCCTTGAAATACGTACTCTGCATAACAAGCAGCTTTCTATACAGTAGTATGTCACTGATGGCAGCTAGGCCTGTATACCTTGTACATGTACGTGTAGTAAATAAAGGTGGTAATAATAATTAATAATAATAATAATTTTTTTTTTATTATCACACTGGCCGATTCCCACCAAGGCAGGGTGGCCCGAAAAAGAAAAACTTTCACCATCATTCACTCCATCACTGTCTTGCCAGAAGGGTGCTTTACACTACAGTTTTTAAACTGCAACATTAACACCCCTCCTTCAGAGTGCAGGCACTGTACTTCCCATCTCCAGGACTCAAGTCCGGCCTGCCGGTTTCTCTGAACCCCTTCATAAATGTTACTTTGCTCACACTCCAACAGCACGTCAATTATTAAAAGCCATTTGTCTCCATTCACTCCTATCAAACACGCTCACACATGCCTGCTGGAAGTCCAAGCCCCTCGCACACAAAACCTCCTTTACCCCCTCCCTCCAACCTTTCTTAGGCCGACCCCTACCCCGCCTTCCTTCCACTACAGACTGATACACTCTTGAAGTCACTCTGTTTCGCTCCATTCTCTCTACATGTCCGAACCACCTCAACAACCCTTCCTCAGCCCTCTGGACAACAGTTTTGGTAATCCCACACCTCCTCCTAACTTCCAAACTACGAATTCTCTGCATTATATTCACACCACACATTGCCCTCAGACATGACATCTCCACTGCCTCCAGCCTTCTCCTCGCTGCAACATTCATCACCCATGCTTCACACCCATATAAGAGCGTTGGTAAAAACTATACTCTCATACATTCCCCTCTTTGCCTCCAAGGACAAAGTTCTTTGTCTCCACAGACTCCTAAGTGCACCACTCACCCTTTTCCCCTCATCAATTCTATGATTCACCTCATCTTTCATAGACCCATCCGTTGACACATCCACTCCCAAATATCTGAATACATTCACCTCCTCCATACTCTCTCCCTCCAATCTGATATCCAATCTTTCATCACCTAATCTTTTTGTTATCCTCATAATCTTACTCTTTCCTGTATTCACTTTTAATTTTCTTCTTTTGCACACCCTACCAAATTCATCCACCAATCTCTGCAACTTCTCTTCAGAATCTCCCAAGAGCACAGTGTGATCAGCAAAGAGCAACTGTGACAACTCCCACTTTATGTGTGATTCTTTATCTTTTAACTCCACACCTCTTGCTAAGACCCTCGCATTTACTTCTCTTACAACCCCATCTATAAATATATTAAACAACCACGGTGACATCACACATCCTTGTCTAAGGCCTACTTTTACTGGGAAATAATTTCCCTCTTTCCTACATACTCTAACTTGAGCCTCACCATCCTCGTAAAAACTCTTCACTGCTTTCAGTAACCTACCTCCTACACCATACACCTGCAACATCTGCCACATTGCCCCCCTATCCACCCTGTCATAAATGCCACAAAGACCTCTTTAGCCTTATCTAAATACTGTTCACTTATATGTTTCACTGTAAACACCTGGTCCACACACCCCCCTACCTTTCCTAAAGCCTCCTTGTTCATCTGCTATCCTATTCTCCGTCTTACTCTTAATTCTTTCAATAATAACTCTACCATACACTTTACCAGGTATACTCAACAGACTTATCCCCTATAATTTTTGCACTCTCTTTTGTCCCCTTTGCCTTTATACAAAGGAACTATGCATGCTCTCTGCCAATCCATAGGTACCTTACCCTCTTCCATACATTTATTAAATAATTGCACCAACCACTCCAAAACTATATCCCCACCTGCTTTTAACATTTCTATCTTTATCCCATCAATCCCGGCTGCCTTACCCCCTTTCATTTTACCTACTGCCTCACGAACTTCCCCCACACTCACAACTGGCGCTTCCTCACTCCTACAAGATGCTATTCCTCCTTGCCCTATACACGAAATCACAGCTTCCCTATCTTCATCAACATTTAACAATTCCTCAAAATATTCCCTCCAGTTCCCTCAGTTGTTTGTTGGGTTATTTTATTGAAACTTGGGCAATGTATGATGGAAAGATACTTCTTAACGTACAACAAAAATGAAAGAAATCAGACCATAAATAGCGGAGTTCACTTCTCAGCCATTAGCGGCCGCTTAGTGGTATATTTTTGTATGGTTTTTATGGTTATATTCTCCTTTTTTCGGTCTCATTTGATAGAAGGAAAGATATATTACAGAAATAGATATGATTTTGATTACTTTCATGACGAAAAGTACCTTGAAATTGCGCTCACAGTAGCGAAAATGTTCTATTCTTTAGCAAAGCTCAAGAGTAAACAAACGACGTCACCGTCCAATACCTGTCCACCTGCCAGTCCAAATTCCAATACGGAGTCAAGAATGGGTTGACATTATTTATACAATTAAATCTTCTATTTTTTTGTGAATAAAAATTCCAAATGGTAAGCAAGAGTAATATCAGAGGGGTCTGTAGCCGTGACTAATGAACAGATAAAATATTATTTTAGTGCCATGAATGTCTGCATTGTTTATTCTGGACCCTATTTTGAAATTGGCATTGTTGAAATTTGTGTGAAATCGGACAAACTGCCAATTTCTGACCACTTTATTGGGTAGTTGAAATAAGTGAATGGGCGGTTTCTTGTACTCAGTTGACAGACTAGAAGTAAATAAGTTTATTCAGGTATATACAAATACAATTACATAGATTATCATACATAGCAGCGTATGTATAGAGAACCTAGAAAAGTCAGACAAAGTGACTTATTTCCAGTACCTGGCTTGGGCTTGCCATATATGATTTTTGGTAAATATCTTTTTTTCTTGGGCTATCTTATTGAAACTTGGGCAATGTATGATGGAACGATGCTTCTTAACGTACAACAAAAATAAAAAAAGATGGATGATAAATAAGAGAGTTCACTTCTCAGCCATTAGCCGCCTCTTTGCAGTATATTTACGTATGGTTTTTATGGTTGTATTCTCATTTTTTTTGGACTCATTTGATAGAATGGAAGATATATTACAGAAATAGACATGATTTTGATTGCTTTCAAGAAGAAATGTACTTTGAAATTGAGCTCAAAGTAGCGGAAATGTTCGATTTTTGCCGATGTTCAATGAACTTTGTGTAAGTCAATTATTATTATTATAATCAAAAAGAAGCGCTAAGCCACAATGTGTAAGTCAAGCTGGTTAATTTTATTAAGTATATTCTCACCTAACCACTCTGTAATCCGGCAAACTCAGTAATCCGGCACACTACATGTCCCAATGATGCCGGATTTGTGATGGAGGACCTGTGTGTCTGAGACAGAAAAAAATACACCAGCACTCCCACCATCATGTAAAACAAATACAGTGGTACCCCGAGTTTCGTACAGCTCCCAACTTAAACAATTATGTAAGTGTATTATTGTAAGTGTATTTCTGGGGTTCTGAAACAGAGTAATCTAATTTACATTATTTCTTATGGGAATAAATTCGTTCGGTAACGGCACTCGAACAGGCTTCGGTAACGAATTATGGCCGAAACTCGGGGCACCACTGTACAGGTTTCTGTCTTACACTCATTTGGCAGGACAGTAATACCCCCCCTCAGTGGTTAATGTCTACCAACCTACTACTACTATTACTATTATTCTTTCTTTCAACACACTGGCTGTATCCCACTGAGGCGGGGTGGCCCAAAAGGAAAAACGAAAGTTTCTCCTTTTACATTTAGTAATATATACAGGAGAAGGGGTTACTAGCCCCTTGTTCCCTATTACTATTATTATTACATTCAAAAAGAAGCACTAAACCAGTGTGGACAAAACTAGTCTAAGGAACATAAGAGATCAAATATTAACAGCTTCAACAAGATACGTACCTCAAACTCCACTTGAAAGACAAGTTACATTAGAAGCATCTATGTTCATTAATGCTATAGTGTGCAGCTGTGCACTCTTGCTCTAACAATTACATATAGTAAGTGCAGAATTATTCCACTTCTACTTACTTTTAGATTAGTGACAAAGGTCTCATTTTTCTTGCTATCCACCAATTTGATTTCATAGGTTAAATTTTTTGACTCTCTTGGAGAGACCAGGAGATCTCGGATGGTTTCATTATATATTTCTAGAAAGCTGGCTTCAGCCTTGTAAGACCAACCCTGTAAAAAAGCAACAATATGATAAATAAGGTATAGAGCACAGTTCAAGACAAACATTTTTGAGAAGAGGTAAAATTAAATACGTATCAGGAAAAGCTCAATATGACTCAATAACAGCTTTCAGAGTATTTGAGGAGAGTGGTAAAAGTTGATCACATGTTCACTTACAAACAGTTAAATCTTTCTTTTTTTATATTGGCTGTTTCCCCATCAAAGTAAGGTGGCTCAAAGAAGGAAATACATTTACCATCACTCTCTCAATAGATGTATTGCCAGAAGTGCATGGGCATTACAATTCAAATTATCCTCCAACCTGGATGATTGAAATAAACAATTATTATTCTATACCAGGTAAGGATATTTGGAAAATTACAAATTAGAAAAAACAAGACTGGAAGGAATGTACCTAGAGCAGTGGTTCTCAAGTTGTTTCAGCCCATGGACCACCAACCCAATTATAAAAATATCGTGGACTATTTCATTTTCTGAGTAATGATATGAAAGGCAAAGCAAAGACAACAGACAATTTGATTTGATATATATTGAATAATCAGTGACAAACACGTAACAATGTGTCCTAGATATGTATCTCATCTACACTTCATGTACTGTATTTTTTTTTTTTTTAACAAGTCGGCTGTCTCCCACCAAGGCAGGGTGACCCAAAAAGAAAGAATCCCCAAAAAGAAAATACTTTCATCATCATTCAATACTTTCACCTCACTCACACAATCACTATTTTTGCAGAGGTGCCATCTTTATATCAACAATGTATCTATTAAATCTTGTGTACCACATTGCGTAATAAAATATTATTATTATTTATTATCACACTGGCTGATTCCCACCAAGGCAGGGTGGCCTGAAAAAGAAAAACTTTCACCATCCTTCACTCCATCACTGTCTTGCCAGAAGGGTGCTTTACACTACAGTTTTTAAACTGCAACATTAACACCCCTCCTTCAGAGTGCAGGCACTGTACTTCCTATCTCCAGGACTCAAGTCCGGCCTGCCGGTTTCTCTGAACCCCTTCATAAATGTTACTTTGCTCAGACTCCAACAGCACGTCAAGTATTAAAAACCATTCGTCTCCATTCACTCCTATCAAACACGCTCACGCACGCCTGCTGGAAGTCCAAGCCCCTCGCACACAAAACCTCCTTTACCCCCTCCCTCCAACCTTTCCTAGGCCGACCCCTACCCCGCCTTCCTTCCACTACAGACTGATACACTCTTGAAGTCATTCTGTTTCGCTCCATTCTCTCTACATGTCCAAACCACCTCAACAACCCTTCCTCAGCCCTCTGGACAACAGTTTTGGTAATCCCGCACCTCCTCCTAACTTCCAAACTACGAATTCTCTGCATTATATTCACACCACACATTGCCCTCAGACATGACATCTCCACTGCCTCCAGCCTTCTCCTCGCTGCAACATTCATCACCCATGCTTCACACCCATATAAGAGTGTTGGTAAAACTATACTCTCATACATTCCCCTCTTTGCCTCCAAGGACAAAGTTCTTTGTCTCCACAGACTCCTAAGTGCACCACTCACCCTTTTCCCCTCATCAATTCTATGATTCACCTCATCCTTCATAGACCCATCCGCTGACACGTCCACTCCCAAATATCTGAATACATTCACCTCCTCCATACTCTCTCCCTCCAATCTGATATCCAATCTTCCATCACCTAATATTTTTGTTATCCTCATAACCTTACTCTTTTCTGTATTCACTTTTAATTTTCTTCTTTTGCACACCCTACCAAATTCATCCACCAATCTCTGCAACTTCTCTTCAAAATCTCCCAAGAGCACAGTGTCATCAGCAAAGAGCAACTGTGACAACTCCCACTTTATGTGTGATTCTTTATCTTTTAACTCCACGCCTCTTGTCAAGACCCTCGCATTTACTTCTCTTACAACCCCATCTATAAATATATTAAACAACCACGGTGACATCACACATCCTTGTCTAAGGCCTACTTTTACTGGGAAATAATTTCCCTCTTTCCTACATACTCTAACTTGAGCCTCACTATCCTCGTAAAAACTCTTCACTGCTTTCAGTAACCTACCTCCTACACCATACACCTGCAACATCTGCCACATTGCCCCCCTATCCACCCTGTCATACGCCTTTTCCAAATCCATAGGTAGTGTGTAAATTAGGAGAAGGTGTGGAGTTAATGAAAGTATTAGTCAGAGGGCTGAAGAGGGGTTGTTTATGTGGTTTGGTCATTTAGAGAGAATGGATCAAAGTAGAATGACATGGAGAGCGTATAAATCTGTAGGGGAAGGAAGGCGGGATAGGGGTCATCCTCAAAAACTTTGGAGGGAGGGGGTAAAGGAGGTTTTGTGGGCGAGGGGCTTGGACTTCCAGCAAGCGTGCGTGAGCATGTTAGATAGGAGTGAATGAAGACGAATGGCATTTGGGACCTGACGAGCTGTTGGAGTGTGAGCAGGGTAATATTTAGTGAAGAGATTCAGGGAAACCGGTTATTTTTATATAGCCGGACTTGAGTCCTGGAAATGGGAAGTACAATGCCTGCACTTTAAAGGATATTGACAGTTTGGAGGGATATGTTGTGTATCTTTATACGCATATACAGTGGACCCCCGGTATTCGATGGCATCGGTATACGTTAAATTCGGTATTTGATACATTTTAACGCCAAAATTTTACCTCGCCACTCGTTAAAAAAACCACCACATGCGATTCGTCCGGGACGCATCCACGTGAATGCCAGTGTGCTCGCATCTAAGCATACATTCAGTACATTCCACATTATCACTGTTTTTGGTGCTTGTTTCTGCAAAATAAGTCACCATGGGCCCCAAGAAAGCTATTGCAAGCCGTGTTGGTGATTATTACAATGACAATGTTGTGGCCCATTTTAGACAAATCGTAAAGGAACGGGAGGTACAGAGCTCTATGGACAGATTTGTTGTGCGACAGAGGTCCAGTGACTCTCAAGCTGGTCCTAATGGCATTAAAAGAAGAAGGAAAGTAACCCCGGAAAAGGACTTGCTACCTCAAGTCCTAATGGAAGGGGATTCCCCTTCTAAACAATAAGTTTGACACTCTCCCCTCCTCCCATCCCATCAATCACCACCAGATCTTCATTAAAGGTAAGTGTCATGTATTCTATTGTTAGTAGAGTACTACTAACTGTGCATGTCTTCTTCAGTTTGTGTGCATTAAACTTAATATTTCATGTGGTAAAACTTTTTTTTTCATAGTACTTTTGGGTGTCTTGCACGGATTAATTTGATTTCCATTATTTCTTATGGGGAAAATTAATTCGCCTTCCAATAATTTTGGCATATGATGAGCTCTCAGGAACGGATTAATATCGCATACCGGAGGTCCACTGTACTTCTAAACTGTTGTATTCTGAGCACCTCTGCAAAAACAGTGATTATGTGTGAGGTGAAAGTGTTGAATGATGATGAAAGTATTTTCTTTTTGGGGATTTTTTCTTTCTTTTTGGGTGACCCTGCCTCGGTGGGAGACGGCCGACTTATTAAAAAAAAAAAATCATCATTCAGCTTCCGTGCTGCGTCCTAGCCAACAACAAGCCTCACCATTTCTTTTGCAGAGGGTATCACAAATTTCTCTACAATTGTATGAGGCTTCTTGGCCTGTGCAACTTTCTTTGCAACAATTTAGGAAGCAAGCACTGCATTGGTGGTTTTTTTCATAGAATGTACCTGTCGCGTCAAGGCACTGCCGCTTCAAAAGTGATAACTGCTGCTCAAAATAATCTTTATCCTTTTGCAACAAATTTGGTGGCACTTTTCGAGATATACTTTAAGCTTAGTTGGCTTCAGTATGTCATTCCCCAAAACTTTGAAACAAATAACACACTGTGGTAATTCCATGTCATCTTTTTCTTGATAAGTGAAGTCTAAATTAGTGTAGTCCTCTGAATACTTGCATTTAACATTCATTCCTGCCATTGCAATATATCTATATCTGTGGATAATATAACGAAATATGACCCACGAAATCGTAATGACACGATTGCAAACAAACCATACCACGGGCGGGATTTGAACCCACGGTCAGAGTCTCAAAACTCCAGACCGTCGCGTTAGCCACTGGACCAGCTAGCCACAATAAGATTCATCCAACTAGGTATATTTCTACACCATAGGAAGGTTAGCATAAGCACCACTGTGACCACAAATGCAAGTTTTTACAGACCGTGGCTAACGCGACAGTCTGGAGTTTTGAGCCTCTCTGACCGCGGGTTCAAATGCCGCCCGTGGTATGGTTTGTTTGCAATCGTGTCATTACGATTTCGTGAGTCATGTTGACGGCAGTGAAGGGACTTGAGCTAGAGTTCGTCACGGCCACGCTAGCTGGAGATTCGTCTGTAAAAACTTGCATTTGTGGTCACAGTGGTGCCTATGCTAACCTTCCTATGGTGTAGAAATATACCTAGTTGGATGAATCTTATTGTGGCTAGCTGGTCCAGTGGCTAATGCGATGGTCTGAAGTTTTGAGACTCTTTGACCGCAGGTTCAAATTCCGCCCGTGGTATGGTTTGATAACGAAATATATTTATTATATGTCGAATCTGACATTAAAAAGATATGAAAAACAGAAGATAATAATACGCATGCAATAATAAAACACCATCAGTTTCATAAACAGCATAAACCAGCACAACACAGTGCATAGCAGCATGAGTGACCAGAAATATTTCACACAATTCTAATCTTCCTTTTATATTACATTTTATAGTAGAAAACCAAATCAGCTTACACCAAACATGTAAAACAATGCAGGACGAAAGATGCAAGTAATCAGCTCAACAGTTCAGTGTCTACTGCACTAAACAGCAGAAATACATGCAGCTGCGCGGCAGCTGACAGGAATCAAACAGGAATGGTCCCACTCTCACGCACGCACGCACACACGACATCATTAACCAACTGCCTCAACACGCAAGGTTCATGTGATATCGCTTCCGCAGTTTGACTGTCGTTGCAGTTAACACGGGCGAATCCATTATCCGACCATCCCCGTTCAAGCTTTATTTTCAATAAATTTAAGACTATATGTACCAATCTTCAGTTTATTACCAAATATAGTGAACGTTCTGTGATCCACCCAAAATGTCACCATGGACCACCAGTTGAGAATCACTGGCCTAGAGGTTTTAATAGGAAAAGTAAATTTCTGTGAAGAATAATACACATGGAAAAGGTTCTTTTCAAGGGATGAAACAAGACTAAGAGGCATGGTTGGAATTTACACACCAGAGAGCCACAGGAATATCAAAATATTTTTCAACCTAAGAGGAGTAAAGAAGTGGAATGACTTGAACAATGACAGGAAAAAAAATTCTATACGGGGATTCGAAAATACATAAATACAGAAGAGCTATTTCATGTTAGTCATAAGTTAAAAAGCAGGATAAGTAAAGAGCTCACCCTTCCTTACAAACTCCAATTACGTATAGACAATTAGGTGCATACTATTTATGCATTCCACCCCTGTAAAGCATTTTACTAACCCTATTATACAGTGTAGGGCATGGGTTTTCAATTCTGCAACAAGGAGGCTCTGAGAGCAACATGTAATGTGAACATTATGCAGAGCATTTGGAGTGTAAATATTACACAGTGTGGGGCTCACCAAGGGTACAATAGAGAGAGGGCTGAGGAAGGGTTTATAAGACAAAATGAAATTTATGAACAAAGCATCCTCCCAGGAAATGCCATAAATGTTATACTGTCATATTCATATATTTGTCGACATATTTCACCTTTGATATTTATACTCGGGAAGTATTCTTAAAGAACTCTGGGCACTTATAGAATAAGGAAATGAATAGGATGACAAAGTATATATGTAAATCTCGAGTGTTAGTGGTTATCCTAGAAACAATTAGAGGGAGGAAGTTAAGAAGTCTTTTAGTGTTAGGGGCTTGAGTATCCATCAGGTTTGTTCAAGTGCACTAGATAAGAGTGTAGACAAATGATTTGTAACGAACTTTCTAATGGAGAATAAGCAAGGTAATATTTATGAAGGGATTCAGGGAAACTGGTTAGCTAGATCTGGCTCCTGGAGGTGGGAAAAGCAGAGGCAGCACTCTGAAGAATGGGTGAGGGTGTTGCAGTTCAGAGGGTCATCTGAATACACATTTCTGGCAAAATGGCAATTGAGTGAATGTTGGTGAATGTGTCAAATATAAAAAAAAGCCTTTAAATGAAAAATACACGATTTACTAAAATATAATTTACAGGTATTTTCATTATCATTTACCAAAAGCAATCAAACATGAATAACTTAAATTGCTACAGAACTTAAGCAACCAAATGCATAATTATGGTAAAAGAAATACTCCAAGCACACTATATATACAAAGGTCCAGGAAAAATTACTTATTGAAAGACTGTTTAAAAAATTCCTCATACCTTATCCTCCAGCCCCTTCATTGTGGAGAAGATGTACTTCACAGTCCTAGCAATCATGCCTTCTAGCTCTTCATTTTCAGGGACACCTTCCATTGTAAATGTCTTGCCTGAGCCAGTCTGCCCATAGGCAAATATGCACACATTGTACCCATCTAGAGCAGACTGAGAGAGCTGGGATATTTCCTCAAAGACTTGTGCCTGAGTACCATTTGGTCCGAAAACCCGATCATAAGAAAACTCAATGGTACCGGTGCCACGTCCTTTGAGACCAGACATTGTGCTTCCATTTGGATCTAGAAAAAATAACATTTAATTGGATGTGGTTTATTTGCTGCTGCTTTATCGGATCATCTTTCCTCAGTGGGAGATGGCTGATATGTTAAAAATACAAAATGGTTTACTGCAATAAGGTGGACAAGGAAGGTATCCCTAATCTTGGTATGGTATCTCATGTTGCAAATAATATTTTGGAGGGAAAGAAGCCTCTTTGCTGCACTCTGTCTCTGCAATACTAAGTACAGGTCTCCCTCACCATTCACGTTTTCAACTTTCACGGGCTTCACACATTCGCGAATTCCCAACCGCCAAATTCCCAGCCACCAAATCATATTTAAGTTTCCCGCCACCTGCGAGTCCCTACTACCCTCCCTCCGACCCCAGCAACTGGCACCCAGCCCTCCCACCACTCAGTGTGGTGAGTGTTTTGTTTGTTCATTATTTGCTATTAAACTACAGTATAAATAATGTAAACCCATTCATGACTGCATATTGGAATGGCTATTCGGACAGGTATTAGACGGTGACATCATGTGTTTACTCTTGAACACTGCAAAGAATTAAACATTTCTGCTACAGCTAATAATAACAATAGTAATAATAATAAATAAATAATTAATAATAATAATAATAATATAAATAATATGATATAAGTGAAGAAGGAAATTGTACAAAAATACGAGGGAGTGGTTGACACATCGTCAGTGTGACTTTGTTTATGCTGGAGTGAACATTAGTCTCCCTGCTCTTCCAAACATTTCACAATAATTCATTGTGTTTGGTGCTTGTAGATTGAGTGTGACTGGAGTGGTAGAGGCAGTGATTGAGGCAATGGTATTTAACCCTTTGAGGGTCGACAGGCCCTCTCCGAAACTCGTTCTCAGGGTCGGCCAAATTTAAAAAAAAAAAAATTATTTTCTCTTATGAAAAGATAGAGAATCTTTTCCCGATCATAAAGACACCAAAAGTTTGAAATTTGATAGAAAACTTACGGAATTATGCTCTCGCAAAGTTAGCGGTCTCGGCGATGTTTACGCATCGGCAATTTTACCCACTTTGAGCCCCATTTTCGGCCAATTTCACTGTTCTAGTCGACAAAAAACATGAATATTTCGCTAGAACTCCATTTTTCCTATCGAATGGGTGCAAGAAACCACTCATTTATGAAATTCAACTATCCAGTACAGTGGTCAGAATTTAGCAATTTTGCCAATTTCGCACAAATTTCAAAAGATGCCAATTTCCGAATAGGGTCCAGAATAAACAAGAAAGACATTCCTGGCACTAAAATGACATTTCCTCTAGTCATTAGTCACGTCTCAAGGCCCCTCTTATATTCTTTTGCTTTCCACTTTGAATTTTTATTTTCACAAAAAATATAAGATTTACTGTTATGCAGACTACTGCATTAGTGTAAAAAATGGTATAAATATTATTGGTGCACTTGTGAAAGAATATTAGACTCACCAGTTGACGTGTATTGCACGCTTGGCACGATTTGTTTACTTTTGAAGTTTGGTAAAAATCGAACATTTCTGCTACTTTGAGCTCAATTTCAAGGCACCTTTCTTTGTAAAAACCAGTCAAAATCATCTCAATTTCTGTAATATGTCTTCCATTCTATAAAATGAGACCAAGAAAACTAGAATACAACAATAAATACCATACGAAAATACACTGCAAATTCGCTGATTTATTAACAAAAAATGGTCAAAGTTTTTTTTTTCTCATTATGCACTGTGGGCTGCAGGATTTTTTTTAGACTGTGCACACTGACCACATAGACCCATTCTTTCATATGAAGGCCTACCAGCTTTCTCCCACTAGATTTGAGGCCGCTAGAATTTATGAGTACTAGTACGTCAAAAACCCCTACGCGTAAGACATACTAGTACAACGAAAACCCTCAAAGGGTTAATAACATACATGTTAATAATAATACGTTATTATTAACATGTATGTTATTAACCCTATTATTATTTATAACATACATATTATTAAATACATACATGTTAATAATACATGTTATTAATAACATGTACTATTATTATTTATAACATGTATCTTATTAAATACCACTGCCTCAACCGCTGAATTATTGTGAAATGTTTGGAAGAGCAGGGAGACTAATGTTCACTCCAGCATAAACAAAGTCACACTGACGATGTGTCAACCACTCCCTCGTATTTTTGTACAATTTCCTTCAATTATATCGTATTTATTATTATTATTATTACTATTATTATTATATTATTATTATTACTATTGTTATTATTAGCAATACCAGAAATGTTCGATTCTTTGCTGTGTTCAAGAGTAAACACATGATGCCACCGTCTAATACCTGTCCGAATAGCCATTCCAATATGCAGTCATGAATGGGTTTACATTATTTATTCTGTAGTTTAATAGCAAATAATGAACAAACAAAACACTCACCACACTGAGTGGTGGGAGGGCTGGCTGCCAGTTGCGGGGGTCGGAGGGAGGGTAGTAGGGACTCGCAGTGGTGGAGACATTGGTGGAGGCAGTGGTGGAGTCTGTGGTATTTAATAACATACATGTTATTAACATATATGTTATTAAATAACATACGTTATTAAAGCATAACATGTATATATTTAGTACAATTTACGACGTTTTCATGTATTTTATGATTATTCATGGTTCAACAAGTTAAGCAAGCAGTATTGTAATACATTTCCCTACAATATATTGGGGCACCAAACATTCACGGTTTTTCAACATTCACGTGGCTCTTGATCCCCTAACCCTCGCGAATGTTGAGGGAGACCTGTAATCCCATTTCATCACATACACGCAAAAAAGAAAAATATGGAAAATACAAAATGAGTGTACTGTATAGTCTATATTATAATAAAATACTGACTACCACTACTAGTCCACTACACAACAACTACCAAAGCCACCACTACACAACTACCAAAACCACCACTACACAACCAGTGATGGAGACAAAGGAAACCAACACTACACCATCACTAAACTATCACAACCAATGATAGATAAGGTAATCTGCAACTCATTCAACTACCACTACCACCACTAGACAACCAGCAATGAGACAGTGAAGGTCAACACTACAGGACTAGCCAACAACCATCATCACTACACTATCTTCCAATTACCACCACCACCAACATTAAACAACCCACTAACTACTACAACCACTACACAGCTAGTAATGAGACTAAGGATGGAACCACTACACAACGAACAATGAAACATTGGAGAACACTACACAACCAACCAATTACCATCACCACTACACAACCAACAATGAAACAGTGGAGAGCACTACACAACCAACAAAGAAACAGTGGAGAGCACTACACAACCAACCAACTACCATCACCACTACACAACCAACAATGAAACAGTGGAGAACACTACACAACCAACTACCATCACCACTACACAACCAACAATGAAACAGTGGAGAGCACTACACAACCAACAAAGAAACAGTGGAGAGCACTACACAACCAACGAACTACCATCACCACTACACAACCAACAATGAAACAGTGGAGAGCACTACACAACCAACAAAGAAACAGTGGAGAGCACTACACAACCAACAAAGAAACAGTGGAGAGCACTACACAACCAACAAAGAAACAGTGGAGAGCACTACACAACCAACCAACTACCATCACCACTACACAACCAACAATGAAACAGTGGAGAACACTACACAACCAACCAACTACCATCACCACTACACAACCAACAATGAAAACAGTGGAGAGCACTACACAACCAACCAACTACCATCAACCACTACACAACCAACAATGAAACAGTGGAGAGCACTACACAACCAACCATCACCACTACACAACCAACAATGAAACAGTGGAGAGCACTACACAACCAACCAACTACCATCACCACTACACAACCAACAATGAAACAGTGGAGAGCACTACACAACCAACAAAGAAACAGTGGAGAGCACTACACAACCAACCAACTACCATCACCACTACACAACCAACAATGAAACAGTGGAGAGCACTACACAACCAACCAACTACCATCACCACTACACAACCAACAATGAAACAGTGGAGAGCACTACACAACCAACTACCATCACCACTACACAACCAACAATGAAACAGTGGAGAGTACTACACAACCAACAATGAAATAGTGGAGAACACTACACAACCAACCAACTACCATCACCACTACACAACCAACAATGAAACAGTGGAGAGCACTACACAACCAACCAACTACCATCACCACTACACAACCAACAATGAAACAGTGGAGAACACTACACAACCAACCAACTACCATCACCACTACACAACCAACAAAGAAACAGTGAGAGCACTACACAACCAACCAACTACCATCACCACTACACAACCAACAATGAAACAGTGGAGAACACTACACAACCAACCAATTACCATCACCACTACACAACCAACAATGAAACAGTGGAGAGCACTACACAACCAACAAAGAAACAATGGAGAGCACTACACAACCAACCAACTACCATCACCACTACACAACCAACAATGAAACAGTGGAGAGCACTACACAACCAACCAACTACCATCACCACTACACAACCAACAAAGAAACAGTGGAGAGCACTACACAACCAACAAAGAAACAGTGGAGATCACTACACAACCAACAATGAAACATTGGAGAGCACTACACAACCAACCAACTACCATCACCACTACACAACCAACAATGAAACAGTGGAGAGCACTACACAACCAACAAAGAAACAGTGGAGAGCACTACACAACCAACAAAGAAACAGTGGAGAGCACTACACAACCAACAAAGAAACAGTGGAGATCACTACACAACCAACAATGAAACATTGGAGAGCACTACACAACCAACCAACTACCATCACCACTACACAACCAACAATGAAACATTGGAGAGCACTACACAACCAACCAACTACCATCACCACTACACAACCAACAATGAAACATTGGAGAGCACTACA